GGACTACTTGAAGGGAAAATAAGCATCAGAGCTCGGCAAAGAGAGGTAAACCGGTGACTTTGCGATCTATCTACGGTAATCAAATCTTCCGTCAACTCGACCAGAGCATTGGCGCCGAAATTTTGGTGTGCATAAAATAGAAAGGCATCTGCTTAAACTATCTGATAAGCATAAAGCAGAAAAGCACTTGCTGGAACGGTTCTTTTAATGAGCCTCTAAAAGAGATTTGCCAACCTAGGATCCTCCTTAAAAGAAGCGATGATATATTTAAGGGAAAGTTTGGGCTTGAGTCATAAGGGCTGGCCCTTGAGTTTGTCTAAGAAGAATGAGGAGGCCACTGTTCAAGCGAATCATGTCTAGAAACCAGACCTGAAGATTCTTCCGCCCAAAGACGTTAAGAAAAGTCCCTAATCAAATTTTTCCCTTCCTTACCTCGTGCTCAGGTCCCGCAACTCCTCTTCTTCCTCCGCATACTCCTCCCTGCTCAAGCGCCCAAACGCCAAAGCCGGCTCCAAATACTTAGAGAGGAACCGCACGCGGGCTTCCAGCTGCTCCTGATCCATCGCGACCCAGTCTTTGAGATGCAGCTTTGCCATCAGCGTCTTCATAAATGTAGCCAGCTCCGGTCCGCTCTCAAACTGCCCCGGCCGCCCCTCCAAAACCCTCTGAACGCTTTCCAACTCCGAGTAGTAAGCCGGATCGCCGAGCGGCGGAAACGGAAGGATGACCACCTTGCCACCGTACATCCGGGGGATGAAGTTGTCCGTGTTGTCCGAGTCGGTTCCACTGACGATCCGGCTGATCTTGCTCCGGAACTCGTGCCGGACTTTGTCCACGTCAAGCGCCAGCACGTCCTTGATCGCAATCAGAAACTGGCCCCGGAAGAGCCGCGCGTCGCCTTTGAGCAGGTTGACCCCGGTTTGGAAGCGCGCGAACATGTTCTCAACGTCGCGGTCGAGCCGGTACTCGGTTTTGAAGATGGTCAGGTTGGAGATCGCCGCGTTGAACACGGAGAGGAGCATATCCTCTTGATCCGTCCGCTCAAACGAACCCAGTCCCTCGAAGTCGAGAACAAGGTACATCACCCCCCGGATGATGCTGAGCGTCAGCCAGCAGCCGTCGGTGCAGCGCGCGCCGGAGATCTCGAACGACAGCCCGAACAGGTGGTTTAGCGTGTACGACTTCCCCGTCGACTGCTTGCCCATGGACGAAACGATGCGGATTGGGCCCCGCCACCAGTCCAAAATCGCGTCGTACAGCCCAAAGCGGATGCCCTCCGCGCAGGTCCCCACGCTGCGCGCGTGGTCGCCCGTCATGCTGACGCCATCCAGCAGGACCTGGAAGCTGTTGTCCTCCGCGCGCGCAATCTGGATTGGGACCAGGCAAATGAGCCGCCGCACCCACGTGCCAAAGCCCTCCTCCGCAGCTATCTCCTCTGCAAGGCCGAGCGACGCTAGGCGGGGCTCCAACGCCCAGTCCTCACTTGGAATCGCTTGCGCGCGGGACCAGCCAGCTTGCAAAGAGCCCACTTGGAGCCGCTCCTTGAGGCGCAGGACCTCCGTCCTTTTCTCCGTTCTGGAAAGAAGTCTCTCCACCGTGTCGACGTACTGTTGCACGCGGCGCGACAGGTCCATATTCCAGAAGATGGTCTCCGAGCAGTCGAAGAGCACCGTCAGGCGCAGCGCGACACTCTCCTCATCGTTGCTGATGACGCCCTTGGCCGCAAACTTGGCGTAGACGTAGTACTGCAGTGCGCAAGAATCAAAGAATCGCTTAGAACTCAAACTGAAAGTCAAAGCCAGGTTGATAAAGGTCGTCAAAAGTTGATAACTGGTTGTCAATACTGAGTTGCTTGAAAGAAAAAAGGAGACAGCGCAATGGGATTGCTAAGGGTTTTGAGGTCATTCTGTGCACCCGAATCTTCCGGAGAGTGTCAAACTGCTTGGAAAGACCTCATTCGAGCCTGGGGTACCTGAAAGAATGACGGTGATAGACATGGGTGTGATAAGACTTTCCAGTATCAGAGTATACGGAAGGCTTCTCGTCTCATTGAAACGTTTGATTCTGCGTTCTGCGTTGTGAAACCGTTGAATGATCAGAAACATGCATCGAACTAGATTCTTATTTGACCCAACAAATAAGGGCCTTGAGACTTACCAGGTACTCGAGCACCGTCAGCTGCACCGTCTCGGCCGGCATTCGCCTCGAGGGCTGGTCGAGCACGTCTCGCATCATGCAGGCCTCCTCCTTCGCCGTGACGTGGAGCGCCATCACCTTCACCAGGCCCGTGCTCTTCTCTAGTACGGCCAACTGCCCCTGCCGTACTTGCGAGCCCAAGCCAAACGAAACGACGTCGAAGGCGCCTCCCACTTTGAGCGAGACGGGCGACAGCCCCTGATCGCTGCCTTGACCGGTCGAGTCCCTTTCCAGAGATGACGTCATGAAAGGATAAACGCGACACAACCCTTCGCTGTCCGGTTGCTCCACCGCGAAGACGCACTGTCCGCGCTCGGAGGAGAGGAGCCTGCAGACCGGCTCCGCCGGTCTCAGCTGCAAGTTGCAGTTGAGCGCGCAGCCTTGCTGGACGTCGTATATCCGGAGTCGGTTGCCGGCGTCCAGGAACGCGAGCTTGCGCCGCGAATGGAGAAAGGTCAGCTGCTTCAACTCCGGGTCGCCACTAAGCAGCGTAAGATCGACCACCGGGGCCGCCCGGTCATAGCGCTGGTATCGCTCGTCAAACCGGTACACAGCCAGCTCGCTCCGCCGTACGGTCGACGTCCTTGCCCCCGGTCGATCGGCCTCCCTGACGTCAGCAGGTTCGTACGCTGCCGCATCCTCCTCGAAGGAGTACAGAGCGAGAAGACGCGTTTGCTCGTCGAACGCCGCCAAAGAGGCTGCTTTGCCGAACCTGGGGCAGGCATACGGCTGGGAGCTCTCGGCGAGGCAGTAGAGGGATAGAACTGCTTTGCCGGTCGCCGGGTCGTTTCCAACGACGATAAAGCGCGTTCCCCTGACGAGGAAGACCTGGACGATCTGCTGGGCTGAAGCGATGTCGAACCGCACAGGCCGAGATGTTCTGAAAGGGAAAACAGAGAGAGAAGCTGTTTCAGACTTGTTGTCTGAGCTGCAATCCGGGACACTTTGAGTTATGACTGACCGGAAACCACCAAGAGATGCTTCTAAATGAGCGGACTCGACGTGATGACAGAACGTCGCCAATGTTGGTGATTGAGAAACCGAATGTTTCAAAAATCTTGACTGGAAGAATAGGTGTTCTGAAACTCTGGTCTTCAAAATAATATCCAGGCCAGCTAATCGTTTCCAATGAAGGTTTGGAGGCTCTTTGATTCAATTTCAGAGTCGTACCGTCTACGAAAGCTTCGCTTCACTTACTTTTGGAGTTGCAGATTTTGCGGTAAACGAAGTGGACACTGACATTTAAGCACCTTTAGCAGATGACCTTACAGAGAGTGAGAGCACACTACTCAGCAAATGTTCAGACTCAGAGTTAAAATCAACAGTAGTTGCTTAAGACTTCCGTTAGCAACACGTACACATCTGAACATTGCAGATCTCCGGCACTACTTTTGGGTCTGCTTGCCGACTTGCAAAGGCCCCGATTGGATCAGCTTTCGCTAGTTCTGGGAGTGTAGTTCGAGTAGGTTGTCAACGTCTCAGCTTTTGGCCACCGCATGACGAAGCTACGAAATAGAGGTTCCATCCTCGTCATTCAGGTTGCCCATCAAAGACTACAACTCGAAGGATCAACTCCTTTTGATCTATTATCTCTATGGATTGTTAAAGAATCAAAGTAAGGGGAACCAAGGACTGAGCCAAGTCAATGAAAAGTCGAAATACAGAAAAAGGTCGAGATATCTGAGAGTCAAGGTACTAGATTGCTAAGGAAGTCCTGGTATACTTACTCTGGAGAAACGACGGAGAAGGGATCACCCTGCAGCTTCTCGTCGTTCTTCTTCGAAATGCAGAGCTCCTCTAGCGCGTAGGCTGTACAGGCCTCCTCACTTTCCTCCAGGTCCCCGAGCATGGTTACGTAGTCCCCCTTCCTGATGAAGCGCCGCAACTTGAGGGCCAGCTTCTGCGCCTCCCCGCTTGTAACCGTCGGAAAGACTGCCCTCTCAATTCGCGCCAGCATGAACCGCCGTCGTTCCCCCTTCAAAGCCTCGTACTCATTGTTGATCCGGTCCGTCTCGACTTTCTTCCTTCTGTTCGTCTCGCTACTGGATCCTTTCCAGGCGCTCTTTCTGTAGCCCCCGGCGGCAGCGCCGCTCCGCAAGGTCTGGACCCACAGAAGCACCTCTCCTTTCAGCGGCCCTCGCTTTGTCGTCCAGACTCGCAATTACCGCGGGAATATTGAGGACGATCTCCTGGCAGGCCTCCGCCAATTCTCGCTTCCAAGGCAGGCTGCTTAACGAAATGATTCCGCGGCTGTTTTTATTCAAGGTGGCGCCTTCCTCCGTTCGCAAAAGCTGGGCGATGGATTCGCTCTTCGGAGCCTTTGGAGTCAGTATCAAGACAGCCAAGCAAGTGGCCAATCTTGTCTTCATAGCTTGCCTGGAGAGCAGACTGGGCTCCAGATCCGCGTCAATTCCCAGATCACGGTGCCGCCTCTGTAGCTCAAACACTGTGCCCTCAGATTCGTCAGCTTCGCGGGCTTCCGTGTTGTCCGCCCCGGTCCCTTCGTCGATAGCCTGAGAGGGGGCTCCCTGCTCCTCCGCATCGGTCATGACTTCGTCATCAACCGGGGCCTTGCCTCTGAAATCCCCAGTCACCTTCGCCCCGCCCGCGTCGCCGGCCCCATCCACCGGCCGAAGTTCCTCGCTAGAGGGCGCCGCAGCCGTCCCCGCACCGTCTTTGCCAGCAGGAGGAGAGAACCTGCTCTCAAACTCCTCCGAGTAGATTTCCTCGAGGAAGAGCCTTGAGGAAAGCTCAACTTACTCCTCGACAGCCGTGTCTGCGTCCTTGCAGGAGTTCTCGATTGCGCAGTACGCTGCAGCAAGTGCGTGTTTCTTGGCGGCATCCAGCTGCTCCAAGTCGGTGCGAAGAGCGTCGACCTCCTTCCTGAAGATTAAATCCGTACCAGATTAGCGATGAGGAGAACGAATTTTTGATTCAGTGGAACGAAACTTAGACGTGAAAGATGAGAATATCATGTAACGAAGCGAGGTTTGATATTCTAGTATTATCTGTAAAGACTGCTAAGAAGTCATTCTTTTAAAAAGTCAGCCAGTGTACTGAAGATTTTTCCCAAGCAGATTGCTCCAAGAAAGGTTGAATTCTTGCAGCTACAACACTCAAGACGTTCTACAATATAGAAACAGAAGTGTTTTATTGCTAGCAACTTTCACTACGGGACCTTATCGTGGAACGAGATGGTGTATCACTGTGTTTTGCTTCAAAGTTAGCTTTCCTTGGAAGCGGCCGGATCAGACGTGACTTTCAGTGATGACCATCGATCAAAAGAAGCGCGGACCAAGCCAGACAACTTTCACACATGTCGTCAAGCCCTGCAGAAGATGCATACTACTCGAAGAACTTGCCTGCAGTCGGAGGAGTGATGCTCGAGAAGTAACAGCTTCTCCTCGTCGGCCATCTCGCCAGCCAGGTACACGCTATACTTCTGCTGAAGATTTTGCAGCATAACCTCAGCTCCGCCCGTCTGGAACCTCTTCGTCCACTGGCTGTTCCATCCCCGTTGAGGCGGAAGTTCCTTCCCCAACAGAATCGCAGCCCGGCTGCCACCACCAGCGAGGAGATGGATGGTTGGTCTGTTTCCCTCACTAGCAGAGGCAGAGAACTTCGAACCAGTGTTGAAGGTCACCCCGCCGCGCAACTCGAACTTCTCCTCCTGGATGTTGACATACGACATATGTTAGTCTCATGAAACCAAAGTTTGATGAGTGAGCGGAGTATTTTTGAAAATGGAACGAAAGTTTGATATCTAAAGCAAGGGACCGAAGTGGCTTGGGGATACGAAGGATGCGCCGATCAGATGCCGATGCCAATCAAAGACGATCCGAAATGCTCTACTCATGATCAGTCTCCCGGGCGAGCAGAAAAACTACAATGGATTTGATACAGTAGGCTTGCTTTTTAGTCAAGATAAGGTGCTACAAACCCTTTCAGAGGCTTTGCTTTGACCATTTGCCAGGAACGTTCTCCAAACAATCTTCCGTAAGAAAGTAAATCATTCAGGAAAAGGAGGAAACCAACCTGAACGGTAGTCTTGTCAATGCTGATTTCCAGTATCCTCTGGGACTCCTTCTCGATCCGGTCCTTGGGGAAAGCCAGGGCTGCATTCTGGTCCATGCAGACGAAGACGTGCTCGCACAGCTGAGTGAGGTATCTCAGAAAGGTCGTGGTCTGGTCCGTTGCCTGTACTGAGAGGAACCTGTCGTCCTGTGGCCAATAGACGACGAAGGTCCGCCGCAAGCTTCCTGCCAAGCCAGACCCAGCGTCGGAAGGATAATGGCCCTGGACAGTGATCGCGTACATACCCGGGGCCAGATCGTTCCAACTCTGGTGATTCGTACTGGCTTCCGTGCTCGAGATGGCTCCCAACCGGGCCAACAGCTTCAGCATTGGCAGCTTCTGTCCAAAAAGGCCGTAGCACTCGTGGCTGATGGTATCGAGTTTGTCGAACTGCAATTTGGACGCGTTTCCTCTGCAGCTTGCAGGGAAGACGTCATTGCAAAGCTCGACGATCTCCCTTCTGCAGTGGAAGAAAAAAAACGTTGTAAGTTATTACAAGATCCAGACTTAATTGTGCAAGATCCAGACTTAATTGTGGACAGCCTTCAAGCACAAAGCTAAACGCAGAATTATCTATCGTAGAGCACATTTCAGGGTAATAATACTCACTGACCCAATAATACTCACTGACCTGAAAGGAATGCAGGGAGATGCATCTTGAAAGCATTCATAGCTGAGTGCCGGCAAAGGTTCGGCAAGACTCTTGGTCAAGGGCACTCTGAGAAATTACACGGAGCAGCAGGCTGGACTCCCCAGACTGTGTTGCCCAGCGGTTGAGATTTATCTTACGACTTTGATGCCGAAGAAGCAACTGTCGCCACTTGCACTAAAAACATTTTCCTGCTCAACGTCTTATCAAAGAGATCACAAGTCTTGTTTCTGATGACTTGATAAAAATACAAGGACGCTTGTACTGAACATCTTGTCCTAGGACTCCAAAGGCATAGCTGCCTCCTTTCCTTACCTTGGAAGGACAATCTTCTCAACCAATCGGTCATTCTGGTGATCATTGTCCAGTGCCATGAGCTGGAACCTCCGGTAAGCCTTCGGCTGCATCAAGCCAGTCGTCTCGTCGAGAGCCGTTGCGCCTTCGAGTCCGCTTTCAGCATCGACTCCGCAGTCGAGGACCTTTGCAGCCTCCTGGAGAGCATTCAACAGCTTATTCCTTGAGGCAACCTTCAGGCCGAAAGAAGGGTCCTGCAGCTCCTCCTCTGTCAATGTGTACAGATCTTCTGCTTCCTCGAACCCATGCTCGTCACAGATTTTCCTCAGAGCAGGAGGAAGCCTGGACCCGAATGGGCCATCCCAGAAGCTGGCAGACGGCGTGCCAGGATCTTGATAGGCTCTCCTCAGAAGCCTCTTCCTGCTTCCCAAGGGGATGCTGCTTTCCATGTCAGGTTCTTGTACTGCTTCCTCTATCTGCAAAGTAAGATCAGAGAACTCATCATATGATCTGCAGGCAAGAAAGTGCTTGGAATCTGATCATACAACCAGTGGATGCGAAGTGCTCAAATGTTTTTGCTAGCATTGGGTAAGCTTCCAGCTAACAGTCAAGGGCAGGAGATTTCTACAATTGCACTCCATTCTGAACGACTTGAATTCACACAAAAACTCTTTGCAAAGAGTTCTTGTGCGTAAGCATTGCACTTCCTTTTTCAACGTCCAACAACTTTCCTTCTTCCTTCATACCTACTGTGACTGATGAATGCTCCTTTCGTTCAATGGTTTTGATGCACGTATGACGTGACCGCAGAAAACTCCAAACTATCATTCTCGATCGAGTGTGCTGAAAGTAAACGTGATGGTGCCACAAATCTGATTTGTACGTCTACTTCAGGCAGTGAAAAGCTTCTGGCATGAGGACCTTCACGTTCATTGACTTCCTTCTTACTGGTCAATCATCTCAATTCTCCAAAGTAAGCATAAGGGGCACTGTAACAATTGAGAACTGTAATACGCAGGCGAAAGACAAGAAGACCTCAACAGGAGCCGAAGTCTCACGTGACGAGTTTGTCTTGGCAAAGGACAAAGTTTGAAAGTTTTGAAGGTATGATATATTTGTGTAGAATTTCAATGAGCTTTTATGCTGGGAACCTCAAGCTAAGCCATCCATATATCATCATGTTGGGACCTTTTGCGCTGCCAAAACGTATCTTCATAGTGTGCTCTCTCATGTGAAAACTTTCAAAAGATAAATCACGATCTCTAGACCTTTCTCCCAAGTCTTGGTACATTGCAACTCTAGGATTGACACCCAAGTAGCCGCTGGTCCACCTGAGCTACTTGCATCAGCAACGTTTGGAGAAGACGTGATGTCAGACTTCGTCACAGAAGTCTCTTCAGGTTTCCGGTCGTTCAGCCACTCCAGAAGCTTGATGCTCCGTTTCTTACCTCCTTGATCTCTCCCTCAAAGTGCTGTCGGATATGCTCTGCCTCCTCTCTAGCAAGCCCTTCAATCTGCTGAAGCGTCCCCAAACCCGCAGCCTCAAGCTTCACGTCGAAACGATTGTTGACATCATAACCACCGTTCTCTAAGAGGCTCACAGTGTCCTCTAGACCCAGACGACCCAGCCACTCCTTCAGGCTGCAGTCCTTTCTCCCCTGACCGCCCCCCATGAGGGACAGAAAGGGCTTGACGTCTGGTTTCCACTTAGTTCTCGCGCATAGATGCTGACTTATGCTCCAGGAAATCCATCAGCTTTAACGCCTGCTTCTTCAGGAATGCTGAGGGGATTGCCCTCGCCAGCCATTGAAAGCAGCTACACCGTCAGGAAAGGGCACCTGGTCCTTGCGCTTTGACAAGACCGTCCGCGTCCGAGTCAACCAATATTGCATTTCGAGAGGCTTCATGTACTACTTGCACGGCCCTCCTGACGACTTCGATCGTCAGCGTTGGTCGCCATTTCGAAACAGCGTTACAGCATTCTGGTAGTATACACTACAACGACACCAGATCTGTTACTACGGTAGTCACATCATGATGTCTTGACCATAATCCTCGAGATCATCAAACGCCGGACCGACCGGAAAGCGTGCACAGTCACAAGGTGACGTCATGCGCAATCAGAGGATTCAATGGGGAGTGCTGCGCAACGCGTTTCAATCATGTAACGCTTATGATCAGTGGGGGGCTAGACATGCTTGAAACGCCATACGGCACTGCTTGGCAGCCTAGCCATCAGTTCTGAACGGGCTTTACTTCTTAGAAATAGGTGCGGCGTACGGCAGAATGTCCATTTTAATCAGTATTTCTGGATTTTGCATCACTTGGTTCGAAATCTCGATTTCACATCTTTCTTCCCGAGCTTTTGTCAGATCCTTGACTCAGTATTGAGGTGTTGCAGGCCGGGCGCAGGCACCGCGCCTTTGCCTGACTGACTGACGGGCGGCGTACCGAGTCATGGTCACCCATAACGTGCTCGTTATCGCAGTATACATAACAATATACTTATGTTTACGCTAAAGACTGAAAGGTTACTCATTGCTCTGGCTTACGTGCATATACGGCAATGCAGAGGTGTCGCACATATCCAAAAAGGGGCTTATCAAAAGCCACTGACCGCGCATGGTGACCGGCCAAAGCTGATTGGTGATGTGGATAAGAAACGGCTCCATCTCAGACAGGCTCTGGAGTTGGAATACATACCGAATAAAACCTGGATTCAAAGAGAATTGCTCCTGCCAAGATCTTTGCAATAAATGCAATAATGTCGATTGTTTTTGACGGGCAGCCATAAGAAGCACTTGGACTCTCTGCAGCAGACATAAGCCAGCCAACTGATCATTTGACTACCGCTTATGATATCTATAATATCTCCTGATTCCGGAGCGCTGATATTGGTCGAATGCAGAGCGTGCAGTCTCTCTGTTCCACGTATACTTCATTCTTCGTTGTCAGATGGATGATTTCATGGAAGTCGATGCAAGCCCCAAAGCTGGCGAACGTATCGTTTGTTTCCCTCAGACTCCGCCAGTGCGCTTTTCTAGCTCACGAGCAGTACATTCTACATTATCTAGAGCCTCCAAGTAATTAGATCCGATTCGAAACTACTGATCCTCAAAGTAGGCGGTCCAGTGAGCGCCGACGCTCTTTAGAGTACACTGATTGATGCAGGTGTCCCTTTCGCTTGTACAGGTTCTTTGTCGAACGCTTTGGAATAGGGTGGCAGCTTCAGGGCAGATCGGCAATGCTGCAAGTTTAAGAAAACGACCTTCGCATTTCGCTGAGAGCAGCAAACGGAACATTCTTTGAAATTTGGTCGAAGCGATGATTTGGCACAGTCTCTTTACATCGTAGGATCCTAGGGTTACCTGAAACCTGAGGGAACCTGTTGGCTTCGTTGCACCTACGACAAAACAATTTTCGCCCTCTTTCCCTCAGACAAGACCAAGCGCGCATGAGCGAGATGGTCTCGTACATTCCTTCTCAATGAAGTCCAGAGACTGAAACGTCCACCCGTTATAGTAAGGACCTGAATGAGACTCAACCCATTTTGAACCTCGTGGGCAGCACACTGAAAAACCCAAAGTGAAGGCGCTGTTTATTCTTAGGAGTCAGTGACAGATTTCTGCAGGGAATCTGGACGTTGACCGCTTCGATTCGATGCACGTCATTCTTCAACAGAGAAACCTTCCACACAGTCAATTGGAGGACATCCAACGCGAAAGGAAATACATGAAACGTCTTTATTTGATGCTTCTGCGTACAAGTGCTAGTAAAATCTTGGACCAAATTCGATTCTTAGGAGCTCACTTTCGTTTCGCGGGCGGTCCCTGTGCAAACTGAGTCTTCGGCGAGTAGACGCCTTCCGACGTCGAGACGTGCTTCGAGTACCACGTTTTCTGAACGGGAGCCGGGAAGGTTACAACGGAACCAGTCGTTAACGAGATGTCGGACAGAATTCTCGATTCGCTCCGTCACTTAGGGGCTCTGAGAAACTACGACGTTCGCAAACATCGTTGACGCGAGACCAACACACTTTGCGTCTTCCTGACTTGAATCGAGGGTAATCTGGAAAACTGCTGCCCTTGATGACAAGCGGTGACTGAAGATCTAGGAACGAAATAGTGGGTCTTTCTGGGAGTCGAGGATACACCGGTAACGCAATCAAGAGCTGCATTGACCTTCTCAGGTTGCCGGCTCAGCAGTGCTTATACGATAAGAGCCCGTGACGTTTCGTCTTCTTAGCTTTCAGACGAGCCGCCAAGCCTTCATGTTACGAAGAAGAGCTGGTTCGAACATTCTCACCTTCATCTCGGGAGCCTGCAGCGCAAAATTAGAGCATGATCATGAGAGCTTGCAGAGACGAAGCAATCGGTACAGTCACATCACGTTGCGAAAGGTTTATCATGGTAACTGCAGCAAATTTTGATTCGACACGGTTCAACATCAACGAGAAAGATGCGGTTAAAGATAGCCTTGAAGCCCGGGTAAGTAGGGAGAGGTTGGCATTCCCGCAGGGTTACAAGCCTTTCCGTTGCCTGCTAATTCAGGTTGTCGAAACGTTGTTACGGTTCGGATAACACTAATTCGTACAATTGCCCTATGATGCACCTTCTATCATGTAAGATTCTGCAAAGCACCAGTATGTCAAGAATCTCTCAGCAGACTTAATCTCCTGACGACCACCCACCTTCTCGGCAGACGCATCCACGATCTTCTGGAACGCTTCGGCACGTGCCGCCACGGAGGTTGCGGACGTCGACACCTTGAAGGCTGACGTCATCGTCTCCTCGGCCGCCCTCTGGCTGCCGAGCCCCGCCTTGCCCCTCATCTCCGACGGCTTCAAAAGCTGCGGCTCTTCCGCTGGCGAAATCGCTGATGTCAGCGGAACGCTTGGCTCGAAGTCGTCGGAGGTCGACGCCCGTCGGCGTCCTTTGGAACTAGCTGCGGACATCGGACTCGATGGCGACACCGGAGACGGTACTTCCGTCTCGATGGCCGCCGTCAGGAAGTGCTCGGGGGGCGGGATGATCGAAGCCGCGGCCGCCTGCGCGACGCGCGCGGCCAGGGGGTTGGTGGGGCTTTTGGGCGACGGAGGTAAGGCTGCCACGTGTTCACTGCGCTGGCCAGCGCTCGATTCGCTGGCGGCTGCAGACTCTTCCTTGCGCGCCAGCCTATTTGCCAGTTGGGCGGCTAGACTACCCCCCGGTTTGTAAGTACCGGGCACGTTTACCGTGCGCGGGGGAGAGGGAGTCGCTTCCCGGTGACTGTCAGAGTCGGTGTCCCAGTCGGAGTCGACGGCGTCCGAGTCGGAGTACTCCGCCAGCCGTCTATCGCGGTGCGTTCCGGTTCCGGGGGGAGATGTTCCGGTCGAGGAGTCGCCGGACTCGGACTCGCCGCCGGAGGGCACTTTCTTGCCCAGGACACCCGCCCAACCAGGAGTGAACATGGCCTTCACATTCCTCGTGGGCGATGCGTTTTCCGCCTGGTTTTCCGCCGGAAGGGGAACGGATTCCGGCGCTTCGACAACCTCTGTGATGACCGGCGGCTCTAGGGGTCGGGGGGCTTCAGCGGGCGCGGGCACGGCTGGCGCAGGCTGACCGGCGAAGTTGTTCTGGGTGTTGTTGGAGTTGTAATTGACGACGATAGTCGGGGAAGAGCCCCGGGCTGCAAGTGTGGACATCTGGTCATTGGCTGATGGGGGGTTACCGTGACCATAATTCATGATTGCAAGTTGTTTTTGGCATCAGCTGCAAAGACGGGTTTTCCGTTGCGTAGTTGGTCAGCGCAGCCGTCTTTGTACAAAAAGACCCCAGAAATCCGAGAGGCTTTACCGAAAGGAATCTTTAACGGTCCGGCACTTTCGGCAGTGCAGTGCAAGGCACGTCTGGATACAGTGGACATTGACAACAAAAGCCCGTTTTTTGCCCGTCTTTCAGATCTTTCAGATCTTATTCTAATGTACGGAATCAGAAATTTGTCCCATACGGCGCTCAAGGTTGGTATATCTTCTGCTCAGAGATTGATTGTTGCCACGAAAGCAGAAAATCACCCGATTCCCGTTTGAGCCCGGCGACGTATCTTGTAGGCCTCACCTCACCTTTTCCGCTCCCCGTTCGAGATCGCTAATAACATCCTCTTTGGAAATCAAGCAAACGAGGTCAAGAGGAGCAGTCCGACACATTCCGCTCCCATCCTGTTCCGTTCGATTTTCTCACCTGCCGCCGCCGCAGCGAGCATCTCCGCAAAGGACTTGCCCTGCGCGGCCTTCGCTTCCACCGCGCTCTCCAGGTTTGCCAGGGTTTGCTCGGTGCGCGAGGAGCGCGCGAGCGCGCCCGCGAGCGCGTCGCGCTGCGAGGTTTCGGTTGCAAGGGAGACCGCCTCGGCTTTCGCGAGCGCCTCCGATGCGGCTTGCGCGGCCGCTTTTGCTGCGCTTGCGACGCCTGGCGTGGAGCGAGAACGGAGATAAGGACTGAAGGGTGAGTAGATTGCCCTCGAAGCAGCCCTCGAAGCAGCAGAAAACAACCGTGACTCAAAAATGTGATTTGAAGGAAACGGATAATACCAGAGCAACGCTGTCAACGAGACGATGCAGACGAGCCAAAAACGTGCCAATCCTATCAGTCGGCAGTCTATCATCGTCCTCTTATCCAAGACCTTGCAACGATACGAAGGATGCGGACCGAGAAGTAATGAGAACTAATTACGAAAAGCTTGGAACAGAAGCCCCCAGTCAGACAACAAAGGAGAATACGACATGGGCGGCAAAGATGAAGCCCCTACATTGGGCTTTCACATCGCCTTGATGCGTATCGGCTGCACTCAGAAGCGCTGTCACCGCGTCGTGCCTGAAGCCAGATTTTGTCCATCAACCCATCTCCTTCGACGACCTAATTAAACCGGTGACCGGCACCGTGAAATCCAAACAAGAAACTAGGTGGAGTCAGACTAACCTTCCGCTGTGGCGATTGCCTTATACATCGCCTCCGCGTGCGCCGCGCGCGTCTCCGCGCTCGCGAGATCCTGCACCAACCCGTCCGCCGTGGCCTTCGCCTGCGCGGCCGCGGCCGCGTTGATGGCGGCCACGACTTCGGGCGACAGATCCGCCAGCTCCGTAGGCACCGAAGTTGGCTTCGCCGCGGGCAAATACTGCGAGCTGATATCGGTGTGTCCAGGGCTGACGGCCGCAAAAGGCCTCGTTGGGAAGAGCGGGGGTCTTGGCGAGAAGGCGGTTGGGGTTTTAGGGGTTTGCGCGTCCGCTGTCAAAAAGGGGCTCTTCAGCGGAAGCGGCATCGGAATCTGCGGCAACGTACGCTCGTCTCCCAGCCTCGGCTCGCTCCTCCAACCGGCCGGACTCACGGGCTGTTCCGTCGGGGTTCCGCCAAACCCGCGCGGGGTTCCAGCGGAATACGGCGGAAGCGCGAGCGGCTCCGGGCGCTGGTTGTACGCCTCTGAGTGCTCCAGCTTGCCGCGCGCGGGCACAGCCGACGCGGAGCGCTCGAGCACGGGCGCCATGGGCGGGGGTTTGGGAGGGGTTGGGTCGGACATTGCGCGCGGCTCGGCGGGCGCGGCAGCGGCCGCGAAGCTCGCGCGCGTGGCCGCGTTGCTGACGATACCCCGGGCGGTGCTGGCGGGCCCTTCCTTAAATCCGTCACGCAGTTCGTAGATGGCCGCGAGGATCGCCTGGTCGAAGGCCCCGAGCCAGCTCTGCAAGTCCTCCTGCACAGCGACGAAAGCTTCAGCTTCTTCCTTGCCACTAGGATTTGAATGACAGTTGTTTGAATCGTTCGTTAACGCAATAAGGGCTCTCTCAAATCTTTTCTAGCTTGAAGTTCGTAGATATGGTCAAAGAGTATACCTGATTGAAGCTTTGCGCGCTTTTGCATCCTCTCGTCCTGCAATCGAGAGCCAGGAAGAAGTAGATCTGGAACGGCGAAGTGTTGAAGCTTTCTTGTCCTTGAAAAAGCTCTTGCATGGAAAAGCTCTTGCATGACAAATGTTGACAGATCAAGAGATCGTCTGAAGTGTGCTCACCAAGCTCGCCGCCTCGAAGGTTACCGTCTTTGTGCCCGGCGCGCTCACTTGAAACTCCAAACCATTTAGCGTGGGCTGCGCAAAAGAGATCACACATCAGCCCTGTTTCTCTTTTGGCCCCGTTTCCCGGTGTCGCCCACAATCACAACATCCCACATGTTGTGCGCTGTTCCACACAAAGCCTTCTGATGTTTCTTATATCTTTCAGAGCTTCACGTACCCTGAGTTTTGCCGTTCTTGTAGCAATGCCCTGACCTGACCCCTCTTGCCCACAGACACATGGAAACCGCAAAGGTGGACTCTGACTCAATATGTCAAGAAGCTAGGTAGAGAAGTTCTCCACAGTGAGCAAGCAAGGAAAAGCAGAACTAAAAATGGTGTAGTACGAACCTTAACTGACGCTCCGACAAGAGAAGATACGTATCGGACGTGGCGGCCGACGGTCTCTTGAATCTGTTCGTCGATGCAGTGGAGTCAGCAATGAAGTTGTTACGGTAGACATTTGCGAATGGAAGCACCAAGCCAATCAACGACAAAACCGTCGTCTTACCACGGACCCCTGTGTCTCTAATCCCCTGTATTCAGAGAGCTAGATGCTGCGACCTTGGTGAACCCAAAGAGTCCAGGGAAAGTGGGGGTAATTACGTTGTTGTATAAGGGGACATGAAATTGTCACGAAATTTAGGGACTTCGACGTCAAAGTCCAGGTCCACGACAAAAACAGTTCGCAATTGTTGATTCATGATTCGACTCGATGTTTTCAACAAGTGAGGTCAGGAGATTAGATATGCTCTAGTCACCTTGAATAGTAACAGCTTGCCCGGGACTAGAACCACCCATCTGGTGTCCTTCTGCAGGAACGAAAACAAACGAGCAGCTGAGCGGGTTGGTCAATTGGGCGCTGATACCGTCATCTGAGCTTGTCAACCCTACCTATTACAAGCGCTTTTACTTCATCTACTGTCTATTAGATACTCACCCTCGTTCAACAAGACTGCTGACGTATGCGACTCACCTTCAGCTGTGTTTTGGCCTTCCGAGACAGGGGCCCACACCTGATGACTTCTTTACTCTGCAAGCCGAACGTGGAGGAGGGGTCAAATCAGTCGGCGGCGACTCAAAGTCATGATCCTTATGTTTGATCAATTCTGCATCCGCCGACCAAAACAAGCTCGCCGAAATCGACTCTTCATGCTCGAATGTCGAACGTTCTGGTCTCCAAAATCCAGCTCAGTGTACCAAAGACACTTTCTTCAAGGGCGCCCTTGTTGAACGCTGGCCACTCATCGAGGCCCTTCAAGTCCCTCACCATGCCTGCTAACCCCGTTCCCGATGCCACGACCTGTTCAACGGAGATGTCCCGCTTCACGTGCTGCAACGAATCCAAAATAGGTTTAACGTCAGCCCGCCTTGACAGCCGATCTCCTCAGAGACAAGATTACCGCGCAGATGGTTCCCCGTTGCCTTTTAGCTAAGATAGGAAGCTCATGACCAACACGATTGATGTAAATGCGTTTGGCACTAGATTCCTCTTTGTTAGCTTCTATTTCGTATATCATCTTGACATTCTATGAAGACTTTACGTTTGTGCATTCCTCCTTCTACCTCAATACAGCTGCTGGGCTCACCGCAAGTATGTGCTGCATGCAGAGACGGTCTGCCATATTCTGCATAGTCACTTTCCATTCGATGTACCCGCTGCGTAACATATCTGAGTCAAGGATCAGACCAACCTGTTTTTGCATTCAGCAAGCTTCTAGCACGTCCGACATATCACAAATGCACAATCAATCACCACATGTACAAGTCTTTTGCAGTGAGAGGATACGCAAAGTGCAGCATCAGCATTGTGTCGTCGTTGTCGGCAGGGGCTTCGACTTCGAGAAAAGATACGAAAGGTTGACTCTGCACAACAGCGGAGATAAAGCAGATGTCAACGATTGAAACATAGTAATCACTGGTTCTTCAACATGGCAGATTACAGAGAATTCTCGGTTGCCTTTTCAAGAGTTTGTCGGATGCAGAAGTGCCATGCAAAAGTAGATGCGGACTAATCTGTCTCACACTCAGACGTTGAGTACTTACACATTCAATCGCGTCTTTGTCTTGCAGGACAAGGACTCCGCCCGTGAAGTCCACCTCAAGTATCAACCTTCTCCAGGTTGCAGCCTGATCAAATTGGAAAAGGATCGATCAACCTTGACCTGGACAAGCTTCTATCGGAGAGCTCTTACATGGTCAGGGGACAAAAACATTCATCCTTTGATGTCTTATGCCTGACTTCACCATCGAAACAAAAGAGCTGGTGCGCATTTCACCCAGCCACATTCATCAGCAACGGCACCCAGGGAAAATGTCAAATCTATAGAACTGTTTGTTCATTGATAAGGAAAAGTACGACCGACCTTGTTTTTGACGAGAACAGAAGCAAACCCCTTAGTTGCTGGAGGGACATACTGAGCAACTTGAAACGAGAAAAGCTGTGCATAGTTGATGTGGCGAGGGCCATCAACCCCTGCACTGGCAGACTTCCACATCTTGGCCACCTTTGTCCGTTAAAACAACCCTCTGAAAGGGGAGCGCCTAGTTTCTTTGCAGCCCTCAAGGAGGCTCTTGTTAGGGGCGCCTTGCCAAGAAGATTCAATTACTCTGCCTCATCTCAGAATCTGCTGCCTGAAAAGTGCCGACTTCAGATGAAGTCTGTTTTATGTTGGTCCACGGTTGTTCATGCTTTGCTGTTGATTTGACTTTGCCACAGCTCCCCTGACGTTGGAGAGTCTTCCCTGAGACTCAAGCAAGGATTCTCCATGACCTACTTGCGGGCGCGTATGGTGAGGTTCAACCTTTAACAGCGCGTTGATCTTTTAAAAAGTGAAAGACGCTTTTTCGTATGGAGAACACGGAACGTCGTCCGACAACTCGTTTCGGCCTCCCCCGGCCGAACCCGTCCGACGTGAATCAGCACGGGAATCTTGCATGACTTATCGACGTTCAACGGTCCATCCGTGTTTTCAAAGTTGTTCTGTCGTGAGGCATTTGCCTGCATGTTTTATGCTGATCCTGGCTATTGCTGCTCTTAGTCTACCACGTCAACTGTATCAGCAACCTACTCTGCATTATTGACTCTGCACGACGACGCTTCAAAGTGGCTCAAGAAATGTCAGCCTGAGGCACCCTTGTTCTGTCAATCTACTATGCAATAAGCGATCACTTCATACATCAAGGGTTTCGAAGCAAAGTCTGCGTTATGTCGCACAAATGATGGATGAAACTTCGCCGCGAGATTCGCAAGCGTAGAAATATATCTCTCACAAGCTGGCCTAATCCCTAGACGTCTATATCTGTGTGAACGAGGTTTGCGGAGCTTTCAATGACCTGTTATCTGTAGTGAAGTACGGGATAACACAGTTAGACTCAGAAGAGGGCTTGGTGCTGATCAACAGATTCATTCCATCTCTGGATCGTCCGGGCTAGCAAGCACCTTTTCTTGTTGGCGAAGATTGCGCAAGCATGCATGCCACGGTTGCTAACTTCAAAGCTACGCGCGGGAAGGCGAAGCGACGCGGCTCCTATCGCGTCGCGCTCGCGCAGGAGATACTTGCTGTCGCGGCGCGTCGGAGCATCGTGACCGTCCGCTCTGGAACCATGTCAGTACCGTACCGGTAACCCGTACGCTAAATTAGTTCCACTGCGTAACCAGTCTAGGTAATCTAGGTGTCCGACCGTCCGATCGCCGAGCCTGGAACATCGATGGTCCTGGGACGAGCTGAATAGTTTGAGCTCGCATATCGACGGTAGGTATTCGGTCTGCTTGTGATCGAGACTGGTTCAGGAAACCGCGCTGGACGTAGGTATGTAACTTCACTAGTTTCAACTGCGACGTCATCATAGTTAAGGACCTGCCAAACCTAAAACCCTAAGGTCAAACTGAGAGCAGTAACCGGGTTTTGACTATACCCTAAGGCGTTCCGCCATAGCCCGCCCGTACCCACCCTAACCCCCCAACTAACCCCACCAAGATCAGTCGGTTGCCCTCTAATAACCCTGACATCCCCCGAGCACTCCGTTTCCCTGCAATCGAGTGCCCGGCTGAACACTGCACGGTACCGACCATTTTCGACACCGGTAGCATACCGTCGCACTGTTCACCGTGGGTACCGGTGATGTCATGCCTACGTTGCAGTTGAAACTAGTGAAATTACATACTCTACTGCCGCGCTCAACCGGAATCACGTTCTGGTCGGTCCAACGGCTAGCACATGATTCAAATGAAGAATGGCAATGTGGGCACTGGGCAGCCCAAATCATGGCAAATGCAACTTGCAAGCATCGAAGAAAGCGGCCTCCCAGCGTCGCAGAAACACAGAGGCACAGCAGTTGTTTTCTGGAAATTGTGATAGCGGGATGATACCGTGGTAGAAAGGGCGGTGACTTCCTTCTTTTATATCAGGCTCTACGGTCTACCCCTGAAAGAATCTGCAAGCTGGAGGCGTCAACGTGCTGACCTGTGAAAGTCAGGCTTTCCTCAATTGTGTTGACAGGAAAAGGAGGAAAAGCTTTTGGACAGCATGACAGAAAAAGCTACATAGCGCTTGAATGTGCAAACTTACTTTGCGGTTATTGCATTTCCACCTGAACAGCATCAGTTCTTGGTACCTCCATCAGGCGCATGTGAACGCCCCAACGCAGCAATGCAGGAAGCTGATCCAAACACCGCGCCTCGCGCTGGCTCCCCGGTCCGGAAGAGCACTTTTTCTGCCGCGCCTAGTCCCAGCCAGCTCCACAAACAGTACTGGGATGGGGTCACCAAGAGGGCGGCAGCAGCAAAGCCGCCAAAGTCCCCACTACCCCCCTCAGGGAGCAAAGGTTTGCCAGGGACTCTGTCACCTCGGCGGGGGGTGTCGCCGCTGAGTGTGAAGGTGCCTGCCAAGAGCCCCCTGCAGGGAGTGGCGGCAAATCTGGTGAAGGGGGCGCACAACAATCCGCTGTTTGCTGATGCGCAGCACACTCCAAAAGGTAAGTCTGACAAAGGGAGTTGCTAGAGTGCTGCTGTTAGCTGCACTGGACATGGCTGCTTCTGTTCATATGGATCAGCCTGCTGCCTTTGATCTTCAGGACACCCCCTGACAGGTGGACCTTCATTCAAGTAGAGACAGAAAGTGCAGGGCTGCAGTCAATGCAACATGTAGCTTTCATTTAGAAGCTGTTCTGCCGGGGGCTGTTTTGGGTTACAGAAGCTGTGCTTTCCTAAAATCCATACTTTGCAGTTGTTTTGAAGAATGGCGGTAGTTGGTGGCTTGCCTCTACTGCTCAAGTTTGCTGCCTGAAAGGGCTTCTCTCGAACCCCTAGCAAATGAGTGACCTTACTGTTGTACGTTCTAAGTAACCAGGCAAGATCGTCTGACTGTGGTTCTTGACGCTGGTTGCAAAATATCTTTGATCAGCGATGTCGGCACTTCACCCGGTTTTGTGAAACATGGAACGTTCTGCGCTGAAGACCAGGGTTGTAGTGCCATCTCGAAGTGTGGGTCAAAAGGGGCTATACATCTGGGCTGGCCCTTGTGTGATTTAGCTTGCCCCAGCCTGCGATAAGTCGCCTTAGCTTGGTCGGTGTCCAGCATTCCTCTTCTTGTCTGAAGAAGACCGCAGAAAAGCACGAATAGAAGTCTCCTGAAGTTGCGGAATGTCGCATTTTCCTGAATACAGGCTTAGAAGTCATCTCGCCTCATTTCAAAAGTAGGTACTGACGCGCCTCAATGCAGGAACATGCCCTAAAAACTGGTATTGATAGCAGGAACCCACCTAAAGTTGGGCATGTTCCATGACAGGTAGGAGATGTGAATCCAGCAGGGGATCATGCTCCAATCGACTTGATGATTACACAAGCACACCTTCCTACAACACAATTCAGAAACAAGCAGCAAATGAAACAATTTCTTTCTTTTCTACAGCTGCAGGTTGGAAGAGCATCGCCACAACTGAGCACGCCTCAAAAGAGAACTCTGCCCCGGCAAATCCCAGTCCGCGGCCCACTGACGCCTTTGGCAAAGCCAGTCCCAAACCCACCCTCAAATCCCCCACAGACAATCTCCTGATTCCTCTGAGTAACCAAGGCCCTGCTTCAAGCGCAACCGCACCAGTAACCCTCACCCCTAACCCAGTCAAACCCGCCACTGACAGCCCACCCAAAGCGGACACGGTTATCGGCATTGCCTCAAACCAGGAGGTTAAGAATCGGGTTGATTATGCACTGAACACCCCCCCCAACACCCCAGCCCAGGACGCCTCTCATTCTGAGACCGCAAACCTGGTCAACGATTACCCCAATGCAGTTAGAGATAACCCGGAATACTCCCCGTCCAACAACCCCTTCTCCCCCCGCCCCGAGTTCCGCCGCCCGAGCCTCGCCCGCGGCGCGACACCTGGCAGGGCCCCATTGGCCGCACAGCCCGACTGGACGTCCCTCCTGTCCGCCGTCCCCCCCCCTGAATCCCCTGAGCCCAAGACCCCCCCGCAGTCAACAACCATGACGTCCGTCTCCCTCGGGGGATCCCCCCGCTTCATCGAGGTCTTCCTCCAGCAGCCGGGGAGCGAGCGCGCCACCCCGCGCCGCCGCCTGCGCATGTCCCCCGACGACGAGGATGACGTCATGCCGGGCCAGGACGACGTCAGCACGGATGACGTCAGCACCCCCCACCCCGTGAAATCGAGGGTGCGCCTAGTTCTGAAGCTGCTGTTGGCGACGGTGGTTTTCATGGCGCTGGGGGGGCTGGAAATGGACCCGGGTTGGGTCCCCCGGGAGCTAAAGGGGGCTGCGCTCGTGGGGCGGTGGGCACCCCGGGGGCTGTGGCACGGAACCCCGGGCGCTGGAAGGTGAGTCTGCGCTTGTAATAGATGTGCCGTTTGCGAGCAACCTCGCAGCTTTCCTGAGAGCAAACCAGTTGCTAGGTGAGACTTGTGACAGGTTGGGTTCGTTTGCATATATGGAACGCTTGTGACGAAGTACCGCTTTGTCATCTTTCGCTGAAAGAGATCGAGAGCGGTTTCAGCAACGACCTGATTGATGGTTTGGCTCCGTCGACTCTAACTGCGTTCTCGTGAATGCTGAATTCACATTGAAAGGTGACTTAATGGACTCCATCAAAGCCAATGAACTGGTGACCTTTTAATCTTCAGGTACAGCGGCGATACCTGGTTCTCAAACAACCTCTTCGTTACAGACGTTGACTGGCTAACCTCCGTCAAGCACTTCGTTCCCAGAGAGATAAATGAAGAGGTGAGACTGTCCCGCGCTCGATGTTCCTTTCTTTCAGACGGACTCTTCGTTTGACCGGAGGACCTGCCTTTCTGACCTTCGTATGAGCTGGAGCCGTTCAGGTTGAACCGGATGGCATTGAGAGATTCGCTTCAACTCAAACACAACGGCATCAAGGATCTGGTTTTTAGGGCCTCTACTCCTTTAGTCGCACTGTGCTCAGTGAAGTGCAATGCGGATCCATCCTCTCTCCGCGTGCAAATCCCTGTTGCTGTTTGCAACTCAACCCATCTCTACCCTGCAAACATGGGTCTAGCACCACTTACCAGTGCACCTGGCCAATCCCCTGTCCAATGGTTACTTTGACGAGGAAGAGACGCTCTACCGATCCTTGTGTTCTTTATATGTAGGTTGCTCCCATGTGTGTACAATTTCGAAAGACCTGCTCTCACTGCAGACTTGCCTGTTCTCACGAACAGACTGTTGGCACCCATTCCCCATACCTACAACGACCAACTCAAGACTCCCTTGCAAAAGCAAATTCTTAAGAAGTTTTCTTCTCAGGGCGTGTCTGGACAGCCTGCTCACGAATCCTCTGCTGAGGGTACCGCCACCGTCGAGGAAATGATCGCCGCCCCGCAGCTGCCAATCATCCGCTTGTCCTTCGACGAGTACGACGGACCGAACAACCTGGATGAACTGGTGCCGGAGGTGAGAATAGGCTCCTACACCCGCCTTTTTGACAAAATTTCAGAATACTTTCGCATATTGGCTGGGCGTGCAACTTAAACATACCCGGACTCTTTGTCTTCCAAACGCGCTCATCTGGACGAACTGGTGCCCGAGGTGAAGGTTCTTCCAAAAGTGTTGTGATCCAACAACTTTGGCCTTTACTCAGCGGCGCAAAACGGTTTCCGCGGACTCTGTTCGCTGCGAGGAACGAGACCGGTGCTATTACGCATTTCTTTCGTGTTTCTAGCTTTCTGGAGGATTTTCGCTCTCTCTGAGCGAACACACAGTCTTTCAGGTAGAGGAGTAAGAGAAGAGTGTGTTCTTGGCAATCCATTTCTGACGTGCTTGACAAGGTTTCGCCCCATCTTTTGTGAGCCCGGGCCTTTCCCCTCCTTGCAACCAGTGATGGCCCTTCAGTCCGTTCCGTTGTGTTGTCCATCCCAATCTACCAGAAACTCAACGGAAGTTCGAAGGCCAGAATCCCTTTCGGCCCCTTCTTGTAACAGGAGGAACCGTCCTCTTCCGCTACCTTCGACGAGCCCGACCCGGACGCCGGAGAACCCGACGAGCGTGCTGACGTCATCGAGACGGAGGACCCGGACAGCCTGGACTACGAGGATGACGTCACCTGGGCGGCCGAACTTCCAGACGCGCACGCCGCGGTCAGCTCGAACGCCCAATCCGCGGATGCGGACGTCCGAATCACCTCCTGGGACGCCGTCTCAGACGACGCAGATGCGGTCCCGAGTGTGTATGAGCGGCAGGTGAGACAAGTCGCGGAAGAACGCAAATAATTGGAGATTGACGGGTACCGTAGTGGCTCGACCCATGCGCACGGAAACTATTTTCTGAAGGACTTGGTGCGGAAAAGTCCGGAACATATTTGAGCCCCAAACTGCCCCGTTAGGGGGAGGTCGAGGGCTTAAGAGAGGCCTTTACCCGAGGTTTGCGCACTGAGAAGAAATTAGATTGTCGTGAAAGCCGGGTGCGAATTGTCCTTGTCACTACGCAATTGCGCCTCCATCGTCCGATAAAATGTGGACCCTCCACACTCCTTGTACCTGACTAAGTTCCCAGCTCAAACTCTGCACGGAACCATGTCCTAACGTGGTCCACACTTTCGAAGCAAAGTAGAACCCCTGTGCGATCATTGGACCGCTGCGGAGCGTGCATTTCTATCGAGGGTCCGTCGAGAGTCGACACAATCTGCCTTTCCTTTTTGAACTGGGCCTTCTCGCTCTTCCGCCGTCTCTGGCATCAGTGTGGATGCTTCGAGGTGTTGACACGCGGACAGCTTACATGTTACTTATCCATAGAACTTCCTTGTCTTCAAAATTCTGCAAAGACTTTTCGACTGTCGTGAATCGCCTGCACTCAGATGGCCGGCGTCGCGGTGCGCAGTTACGCCGCCGCGTTTGCAGCCACACTTACTGATCAGCTTAAAAATGTGGTATTCATATTTCCAGTGTTAGCTACGGCTTGACAACATCTTGAGACATGCTTACTGCGTCTTCAAAAGACTACTCCTTTTGCTGCAGGTGCGTGAAGCTGCTCTGCTAGAAATGGCCAACGTTGCCGTCCGCAGCTACGCGTCCGCGTTTGCGGCCGCGCTCACAGATCAGCTAAGAATATGGTTCACCTTCTTCAATATTAGTCGAGGCTTGACATTTTTTCATCATACCCACTGCATTTAAAAACGGAAGATTGTTCCGCCTGCAGGTGCGTGAGGCCGCGCTGCTCGAAATGGCCGACGTCGCCGTCCGCAGCTACACCTCCGCGTGGGCGGCAGAACTCACAGATCAGCTAGACTATGGTTCAACTCTTCAGTATCCTTACACCTTGACAACATCTGGAGTCATACTTCCTTTCGATTTCAAGGAAATCTTCTTCTTCCTGCAGGTCCGTGAAGCTGCATTACTCGAAATGGCCGACGTCGCGGTGCGCAGCTACGCGTCCGCGTTCGCGGCTGCACTCACAGATCAACGAAACATACATTCAACTCTTCATTGTTAGTCACGGCTTGACATTATTCCGAGTCATTCCTTTTCTCGTACTTACAAGATTATTCTTTGTCTGCAGGTCCGTGAAGCTGCGCTGCTGGAAATGGCCGACGTCGCCGTCCGCAGCTACACCTCCGCGTTCGCGGCCGCCCTGGCGCTCTTCGCCGTCTTCTCCCTCGCCGCCTTCGTCGGCGCCCACTTCTTCCCGGCGCCCACAGCAGGCCGGGATGACGTCCGCGGGGCCAGTGATGACGTCAGCCAGGAGGAGGATGACGTCATCCCGGCGGAGGTGACGACGCCCATGTTCCTGCGGCAGGGGGTGCGCATGGAGGAGCCGGTCGTGGTGACGCCCGCGAATTCCGCGCTCGGGTCGCCGTTCGGACGGTACCAGGCGTTCGTACGCCACATGATCGGACAGGTGAGGCGTCCGGTTGAGGCAGAAACTCGTGATCTGATAACTTTGATGCGCGTTTCCCATTAGTTAGAGGCAAGACGATCAACCTGCGCCTCTAAGTGGGTAAAGGCGTTGCTTCTAATCGGGTCGCCTTTCGGACAGTACCAAGCGTTCGTACGCCACATGATCGGACAGGTGAGGTGTCCGTGTCGAAGCTCGATTTGGTGTTCCAGGCAACTGTTAATGTGTCCAGGCAATCGCACAGATTCGTGGTCTCGGCGAGTGTAAGACTTTTGTGATCCTCGCAAGTGCGCAGGTTCGTGGTCTCGGATCTCGTACAATCTCGTCATCTTGCCAACTGAAGACATTTGCAATTATGGCAACTCGACTTTTCCTTTTTGGCATCAGCGAACCGTGATTTCCTCTCTTGGCAGTACTCTACTTTTTGGATAATGGCGTTAGCAAACCGCGCGTTTTGTGGGTGAAAACGCACGTACGAATTTGCCGCATTTTTGACCTCAAAGGTAAAGCGCTTGGAGCTGGAAGTGGATGGATAGGGAGGAGTTGTTTCGACTCAACTATATTTGCTCGTCAGGAGTCCGAGGCGGTATGCAATCCTTTCGAGCCGAGAGGTAACCTGTAAGCCGTGAGCCTCAACAAAATGGAAGGTTTGCTTTTATTCAGTACATTCCGGCACGCACACAAGGGAACTCGAACTTCCATACAAACAGCTTTATTTCGCCTTCGGGCCGCCGTCACGGAGTATACTTCTCTTTTCCAACAAGGATATTAGGGGGTAATTTCAACCCCACATTCTTCCCTCCTTTTGCGCAAGGGGTTCTTAGGGTGTAACTTTAACCCCACCTTCTTCCCTTCTTTTGCACAAGGGGATTTCCGGGCGTAACTATAACCCCACCTTCTTCCCCCCTTTTGCGCAGAACACCGAGTCGCCCCAGCTCGTATTGACCCCGGTGCAGAGGTCCCGCCGGCTGGCCGACAAGTTCCGGTCGGTGGCCGGAAGCCCCTCCCACCGCTTCACCATCTCCCCGGCCTGATGACGTCACCGCACGACCAGGATCACATCTTGTGACGTCAGGGATAGGGGAAGTGTCGTAATGGGTTGCACCGTTCGGTGTTAGAAATGCTGGGAACCAGGTCGGGTCTAGGCCCCGTACGTTCACTCCGGCTGTATAACTTGGGTGAATCAGTTACACAAGTCGTTTTTCGGCGGGGATGTACTTCCAAGTTAGACTGTCTGGCCCCTGGAATACACAGTTGTAGGCAAGGGTTGTCGCCCCTTTCATGGAGGTCTGCTAGGCTTCTTTTAAGACAGAGTCAGAGATACTCAAAGTTACGTACAATGTCCCACCAACACGAGGCCGTATGTTGGTCTCTCTATCAACGATTGGATTTGTCCTCGTCGGCAAAGAAGACCTTTGTGTACGATAAAACACGATGTGCAGGATTCGATTTCTCTTCCCTCTAAGATTAGCAGCCCAGCTCGACATGGAAAGTGAAAAGACTCGAATAACTGGGGGTGGTAGCATTCGGTTGCTGGATTGACGATTCGATCATGCACTGCACCACATGAGCAACTTGAATCGTTTCTTTTCAGACTTGAAGCCTTTAATCGGATGCTCAACCTCTCAACCCCTACGATTTGATGCTAGTACTCAATGCATTGCTGAGACGTGATGTTACTTGATTTCTGTCTGCATATGGAATCACACCTGCTAGTGTGATGACGATAGTCACATGTACGTGCAGCTTGCCATAATGGAATATATACTCTCCCGATGCTGGATCATACCATGCATCCGGATGTCAAGTGAAACGAAGTCAGAGTTGACATGCAAGCTGAAAGTTGGACCCGCGCGCTGTCTGGTTGTGGCGGCGCGTGTTGGATCTTCAACGTATTGGAAATCGTGCCGGATCCGGCCGCCCAATACATTTATTTTTGTGCATGTCGAGCTAGATGTCCTACTTTGGCTATCATCGGTTTTGCATCGATCAGCAGTACTTTGTACCATCTTATTTCAGTCACGGACTTGATTGAAACCGTCACATTGCATGTTCCAACATGCAAATGCATGATTGCGACTTAGATATGGCAGAGGCATGATAAGTTATATCGTACCTGCATACCAAGAAAACGTCAATGATGCGGGTAATCAACATGCATTGCACTCGTTTCGTAACTATGCATGGCCAAGCTAGGTCACCTAAATGCAGCTGCAGGCATGCATGCCAGGCCGGTCGAGCGGCAGCCTGATTGCCGGCAAGACTTGCTTGAATCATGGCTCGGTCCGAAGCACTTTGTGAAAGAAGTGCATGAAAGCGTTCCAATTTGCTCCCTATAACCCGTTATTGTAAAGTGGTTAAATACGGTCCTACCTATGCGTGCGTGAAAGTATTCGCAATTGCGTTTGCAGTTGTCAGACAGGAAGGTTGCATATTTCAGCTCCTCCTGCGTGCTCCACCTATCAGTAATGCTTGATTGCTTTCCGTCCTTGATATTATTGCATGTCCTCTTTGGAGTTCCTACATAGGTTTCTCCGAACCAACTCCTCATGGTTCGTCTGCAGGGCTTTCGCCGAATCAGATGATTCTCAGCATATGTACTTGTTTCATATTGGGCTATCATCAACAATCGATCGACAGCTTATACGAACAACCTGCTAAGCACCTTTAAGCATGATTATAGAACCCGCCCGCAAATATTACGACGCCCCGACCAAAACCTCCAGCCACTCTCCATACCTTCCAGTTGCAGAGACAAACCTTCAGATATAGTAACTCCGTTTAGTTTAGAAGAGACCCCAGTAATCCATACGTGCTCGCCCAGGGACAGCAGCGGCTGACCCAGAATGAGATCTACGTCTATAGCCTATACCCCGCCGTTGAATACGTTAACGCTCTTATACAGCCTCAGCTCCGCAAAGTTAAATAGCGTCCCGTCCAGCTTCGCCACCCGCACGTATCGGCACACCGCGGCGCTCGGCAGGGCCGCTGAGAAAGTGCTGTACGCCTCCTTGGGCTCCGGGCCCTGTGCAGCGATCACAGTGAAATTGGAAGCGTCGGAGACGTTCGAGCAGCGGATCTCGTAGTTGGCGCGCGTGAAGGGCTGGTCGCCGTCTTGGCGGGAAACCAGTTCTAGGCTGGACAGGTTGAACGCCGACCCCAAATCAACCTGCGGGGGTGTAAGTGGTTGAGTTGACAGGATAAGCGGGAAAACAGCGTAACAGTCTGGCGGGAGACCAGTTCTAGGCTCGACAGGCTGAACGCCTGGCCCAAATCGACCTGGGAAAAGCTATCTTCAGTAGGCAATAAGCGGTTGCAACGATGAACCAAGCGTGAAAGGTTGGTCGCTGTCCCGCAGGCAAGCAGCTCGGGGCTAGATAGGTTGAACGGCGGCCCGAATCGACATGGAGGGAGAGAAGGGGTGTAAGGAGGATATAGGCGGTCGGTTGAGGGGATACGCGTCGGAATGCTGGTCGCCGCCTTGGCGGGCGACCAGCTCCAAGCTCGACAGGCTGAATGAATGGCCCAGATCGACCTGGGGACATATAAGCGGCCGGGTTGAGTGTATAAGCGGTCGAAATCAAGAATTAAGCCGCGGAAGAAGGCGTTGGGATGAGGGTGAGAAAGCGTGAAAGGTCGCCGTCCTAGCGGGGGACCAGCTCGAGGCTGGACAGGTTACATGGCTGGCCCAAATCGACCTGGGGGAAGATAAGCGATTGTGTTAAGAGTGTATAAGCGCTTGAAATCAGGCATTAAGCGTCGGGATGAGAGCGCGTAAAACATTGGGCGCCGTCCTAGCGGGGGACCAACTCGAGGCTCGACAGGTTACATGGCTGGCCCAGGGGGACCTAAGGAATCATAACCGATCGTAAGGAGGCAATAATCGGTCGGAATGAGGAGAAGAAGCGACGGAGACGGCCATTTGCTAAGCTAAGAGCCAGTATTGAAACGATCTCCCTTTGATGAACCAGTCTGTTAAGAGCCAAGGAAATGCAGAACCAACGAGAGGATGGGCTAAATCGGCTGAAGACTGGGAGAATGGTCGTTACAGAAGGGAACCCAAGTACAAACCTAGAACCGGAGAGAGACGTGGAAAACCAGGATAAGAAGCGAAACCAATAGTAACATTCGAATCAGACCGGAACACCCACAGTAAACCAGTCCCCAGAACTCCAAAGGTGAAAGGCCTCCCCTGCTAGGACGAAATTCATCTTGGAACGGCCCGTTGGTGTGCGTCTCCAAACGACTTTCAACGCCTGTCCATACTAATCGTTCATCCCAGAGCTATCCTCAACAGGCAAGACGATGCTCGAAGCACATGGAAAGAAACAATAGACTAAGCACCAAGAATCCAGACCACCCGCCTCACCTGCCAGTACGGGTTTCCGATCTGGAACGGGCCGTTGGTGCTCTCCCAAAACGTTTGGACGTCCGCGTCGTTGCCGTTCCGCGGCACCAGGTCCGCGGTAAACGCGGACGCGTTCGCCGTCTTATTATACGCGATCTGGAGCGCGGGCTGGAGAATCAGTAACTTCGTCCCGTGGGCGGTCACGTTGGCGGTGAAGTTGGAGGAGAAAACGCCGGTCACGTAGGTCCTCTGGAAAGGAGGCAACACTTTATCAGGTTATGTTTATTGATCACGTTCCTTATCCCACAAAGACCTACTACTTTGAGTGGAAATAAGTTCAATAGGTTCGTCTTGTGAGCAGTCACGTCGGGTGTGAAGTTGGAGGAGAAGATTCCGGTCACGTAGGTCCTCTGGAGAGAAGGCAACACTTTTCAGGTTATGCCAGTTGTTCGCGCTCTCAGTCCGTAAGAAAGTATCTGCTTCGAGGTAAAGTACTAGTTTCGTCCCGCGGGCGGTGAGATTAGAAGAGAAGATGCGGTCACGTAGGTCCTCTGAAAAGACAAGACTAGACAAGATTGAGCTGTTTGTTTCCTGCCACTCCCCCTTAATAGGACCTTTAGATTGGGAAGTTTCTAAAATGAAGGCGAGAAGTAGCGGCCTCGTCCCTTGAAAGGTCACGTTGGCGGTGAGGTTGGCGGAGAGAATACCGGTCACGCAGGTCCTCTGAAAAGGAGGCGAACTTCGTGAGATGGTCGCACTTTTCGCTTTTGCAATCTCTCATAAGAATGACTAAGTACCTCGGGGTAAAAGAAAACGGTGGCCTCCCGGTCAAATAGGTCCTCTGGAGAGGAAGAATTCAAAGCATCCGTTGCTTTCCAAGGATAGGAAGCTTTTTGTTAATCGCGAGCAATCTCAAGTCAGAAAGTCAACAACCTGTGGAGGTTGAGGCATAATGACAGGGATTGAGCGACGGGGAATGCATGAAGTTGCAAGTACAAGCCATCAAGCTGGCTTCTTATCATGAAAAGAAGTATATATAGCCAGTATGACGGAAGTATATACCTATATCCAGTGTAGACCTTCATCCTTGGCAATTCTGATGGTGACTTCTCTAAAACGCAACCGGTTGATCATGAACTGCACGACCTGTCATATAAAAGTACGTCAAGATCTGCGACTGGTCAAGTCCAATAAGAGGAAGCCTCACCGCCCAAACGTCTCGTATCCGGCACCCCGTTTCTGACGTCAGGTTGACGTTGTACCACTGGACGGTGACGAGCGCGGGGGTCGGTAGGCGGTTCACGAGTGCGACCGCGATAGCGCCCCCACTCAGGAGCCCCGCCCATACCTAGTTGCGAACCGAGGAGTGCGTCTTGAGCTTAGTGCAACAGGGCAAATCTGCCGCTTGTACTCTTGCGCCTTTTCATATCATCAAAAGAATAGAGGAACTCTCGAGAGCAGATACCGTAACGAGAGGAGAACGGTGCTTTGAGACGCTCCTTGAAAATCTGACTAACGCTTAAGAACCCGGCCGTGACTGGAAAACGCTAGTCGACGAAAGAACTCTGCATTCATCTCATCGGAGCAAGAGTGATTTGCGACCAAGCCCACCGGAAACTCTGCGGTAAGCAGAAATCTTCAGCTTGCAACGTCAGCGAATCGTCCTTTGAGGAGACTCAGCGACGTTCTGCAATTCATGTGCGGTCTCACCTCTTTTCCGTCCTCTGAGGTTCGCTTGAATCCTTGGATGCCCAGAGGGTCTGCGGACGGACACGAATGTTTGATTTGGATACACGTCTGGCACGCATAGCAGGGGGAACCTCCAAAGTGCACACCTCCAAATCAAATGGGAAGCAAGCAACTGGGGGAGTAAGCAAAGCTCGTACTCAGATTTGAGCTTTACTCCCAACGATTTCTATGCCGTACGCTGTTCTGACCGCTCAACCACGTCGCTCCTGGCAAACGAAAAGCGAGAAGCCTCAGGCTACACTGCTCCACGCGACTGCTCACCTTGATTGATGCGGATCACTTCGGGGTTGGTCAGGAGAGCCGCAGTCGCGTTGGTCATGTTGAGAACGTTGGTGCCAATCAGAAGCGGTGCCTGCGGCAGGCCAAAGTAGCATCACGTAAGCGCACCACCCTTGAAAAAGACCGCTACGAGGAACAAAGGGCGCTAGGAGCAGTTTTGGCAGTAGCGTGTGGTTATTTTGGCCCGACTTGCTGGGACGGTTGCTGGCAGCATCGCATTAGCTACCGTCTACCGAAGCTGGCAAAAACAAGGTCAGATGGCAGCAAATCTCCGTCTACAGCCGATACCTTTCGCTAGTTGATCAAGGTCGTCTCTGGATGTGTTACTCACTCCATCCTCCATTGAGGTTGGCAAAAAAGCTGGGTGTGCAAATTACTTCTCATCGAAACGATGATAGCGTCCAAAAAAAGACTCCACACCAATCTGCAAACGAGAGAGTATCTCAGAGTTTCCGAGTAAGGACAAGCCATCACCTTCTTGAATTCAAAATCGCGAAAATGGACAATGGACACACTGAAAGGGCACCCTTGACACACCTTCATCAGCGCCCAGAGGGACATGTGAGTGGTGTACTCGTCCAGTGTCATGTTCCCGTTGCCAACCTGCAACATGTCCGGATCTGCGTTCAACAGAGGGCACGTCGGTCAGTGATGACAGAATTTGTCCGAACCCTATGCAACAGTGTTCGAATTTGTGCAATCAAAAGGTAGAAGTTTGGCTGAGAATGAATGTAAAGCACGACAGAAACTGTGCAGTCTTCTGCGACAGAATGTCCGTCTTGTTTGAGTTTCTGTCATCATTAGGGATACCTCTGTCCCAGCGGCAAGCACGATTAGAAAGTTGACTGTTAGAGCTTTTCAGCGTACGTGCAGTCGCGCCTAACATCTAAAGCTTAAGCCTCAACCTGTAGACCGCCCATTCACATCTTCGCCTGCGTGTTCTCAATCAATTGCTGCTCTGGAGCAAATCGATTCCAATCCCGCACGATCCCGCACGTTTCATCCAATTTGGCTGCCCACTTTTCGCCAATATAAGCGCAGACAGCGTGTATCCCTTATAACCTGATCTTGAAAGCTTACCGTTCCAGCCACTCCTCGGCCCCGCGTATATGTGACTCACGTCGTTCCAGTCAGCCATCTTGAGCATGTATGTGTAGTCGTCACGCAAATCGTACGTCGTCCGCCAACTGTTCGCAAACATGGGGGCAAAAAGCGCGGGGATGTACTCCCCCCAGTTGCACAGCATGAACAGGATGGGGCGGGTGACGTTCCCGATTGCGTCGGTGAATCTTACGTACCTGAAAAACATGATCCGAGTGACGTTTGAGTTGGTTGAGTGTTCGACTTAGTTGGGTGAAGACTTGATGAACTTTATTTTTGTGCAGCCTCTGCTGTTTACTTGTGTGATACAAGTGTGATCAGGTGAGCGCCTTCCGCAAGGGTAGCCTAGACTCGCTTTGCTTAAAAACCTCTACCCAAATTTGACGGCTTACATATATGTCAGAAGAAGAGAAGAGAATAAAGCGATTACGCAGGTCGACGCTGGTTGAAACTCCTGTCCGATGTCAAGCACAGCAAGCCGATGGCGCAGCTTGAAGGGGCTGACTTCTATAAAGGCTTTGATATTCCGATTCTGAGGGTCAAGTAATGCACGATAGAGGTAGAATACAAGCTTGGGAGCAGCGGAAAAGCTCGCTTACCGGGTTTCTGGTAACAGGCCCTCGTTGTAGCAGTTGTCAACTTTCACCAGATCCACGCCCTGTGAGACAAGTTGCCCGCTCAGTTTTGAGCCCGTTTGGCAGATCATTAGATGGTTTAGTCTTAGTTGAAGGGACATGTAAGAGGTGGTAAGAAGGTGTTTAAGGTAGATGGTGCAGGTGCTGGCCGATCTTCTGGAAATACTGTACCGACTGTCCGGTTGGGCAGATATTTTTTGCCCAAAATGTCGAATGTAAAATAAATTCGAATTTTATATTTGCAGGTCATTTCGCCCCGTACGAACACAGAATAAATTGGTAAATGGAAGCTGCCCAAATTGCGTGGCATGCGAAATCAATGCTTGGGCAAAAACCTGCCCAACCGGACAATCGATACGGTAGCGCCTGTGGGAGCACGGGAGGAGGGTCTGGTAAGCGACACGACATTTCGAACGGAGAAAAATAGAAAAGTAAGTGGAATCCCAGATGCAATTAAAACGCCGAAGGCAGTAACGCTGATTAAGGCTCGCGGAACTTCAACTTAGAGGTCTTGGTAGGCGAGCGGCAGGTTGCTCTTGGAGCTGGCAGTAAACTGGCCTGAAAGAGCCAGTCTCTATTTCGTGAATGCTCACATCCTTGGAGATCTAAAAGTCGTGTGAGGAGCTCTACTTGAGGCTCCCGTTCCGTCTCGATTTTAGGAAAGGACCCAAGACGATTTTAAGAAAACTGCCGTCAGCCCTCAATGGAAAGGAGTCCAGCGCGAAAATCCTCCCAAAAATCGGGGGCCGACGTACGCAGATGTTAGGGAGCCAACTCACCCATGATGAGACGAGTGCTATGTCCTGAGCTTCATACCGCAGAGACCCGGGCTTCAAGGCACACGTCTTGTTTCTGCGAGGAGAGGCACGTCACCATGACGTCAGCCCGGTGTTCCTGGCGCCCAGGCCAAGATGGAGAGGACAGATTATCGGTGGCATGTATGCAGAGTGCATTAGGCCTGTCAATAGATCAGCGACCCTTGCAACACTTGTTGTGCTGTCCAGCCGTCCAAATCGGTCAGATGCAACCCGCACCGTCGGATGCTGTAAGTCCAGATTTGATATCCGAGTAATCTGCTGACCAACAGCCCGCAGTTGCCGGTGGAAAAGATCTGCTCACATAAAACTCGCTACCTGCGAACAAGCCGCCTGTTCCAAGGGCTAGGACCGCACAGCGATGGACCTTTTGTCAAATTGAAAAGCCAATACACAAGGCACGGATGACTCTAGAACTGTCGATCAAATTCTTAAAAAATATGGCCCCATAATTGCGAGCCCTTAAGCATTCCGAGCCCCTAACATGCTCTAAAACTACAGCCCGAAAACAATTGCTCAATCGCTAGCTCTCACCCAGCGCACAGGTAGAGTCCGAGTTTGAGGCCTAGGCTGTGCACGTAGTTCGCAAGCGCGGGGATGCCGGACGGAAATCGGGAAGCATTCCACGCCAGATTGTCCTGCATAGAGAATGGCACAGTTGTTGCTTTACCACTTTCTGCCACTGTTTGGATTGGACAGGTGCGTTTGAGAACCGCAAGAGGGTGCTTGCTGGATGCATAAGGCATGCGCCCTTGCTTTTGCTGCTTGAGCAGCTTTGCCCGCCCACTAGTGTTTAACATCAGTACGGCAGTTGACGATGTTCCCCTTGCTTCGAACATGGGACCTATCAGACGATAACATGTGTCTTCTGAACAGAAACAAAACGCCCAGTGAAGAGTCACGATGCAAGTTTCGTCCAGTTCTCTAACGTGAGTAACTAGGCGTCTCCCGCTTTAAGTGTGGAACTCTAGTTGAAAGTATTCGGAAACAAGAATGCACCTCACCATTGCGTCCCTCGAGTCAGCCATCCAGCAGTCATCTGCAAACGAAAAGTCGTATCATTGGCGTTTGGCCTTTATCTAGTGTCTCTGTCGAACAGGAGCGCCTCTTTCCTAGAAGATTTCGGACATTCGGACTTGTAGACTTCGGTCCCCGTTTGATGCTACATCATTGACGGGAAAAGCTCCTTGCGACCGCGCCTGAGGCGACCCACAAGCCGCAGATAAACATAGAACTCAGACTTCGAATATAATTACTGGCCTTTCCCATTTTTCCTGCAACGTTAATGCCATCTCGTGAACTGATCAACCCAGTTAAAGGTCGCAACCAAGAAGCAACCCAACCTGTCGAGTGGAATGCATAGCAACAGCCCACAAAGGGTTCGTATGCACTAAGGTCTTGCCAAGGAAGCTTTGTCACTTTGTGCCCCTCGCTGATGAGGGCATCGAACCTCATTTGGTCGGCGGGCCTTGCCTATGTTCACATATCGGTAGCCCAGGCTCGCCATACCCGAAGTGTTCAGATACAGGGCTGGACAAATGAAAGGACAGTCATGAGCATCAAATGTGGTGTTTGAGTGGGAATATGGACACACCACTCAGCCAAAAACACTGTCATTTGAGTCTGGGCGACTGGGTACCTATCCTCTGCGTTGCTATCTCCGGATCAGCAATGCGTTGGTCCAGTCAAGATACTCCAACGAGAATCAAGATAGATCATTAAAGGACAAGTTCCTGAAAAGTTGTTGCTTGAGTTCTCGCCGCCAGCAGTGGAAGCTGTAATTGATCAGAACCGTTGAAGCTGTATACTCTCAATGAGGCATTTTATGGGGGCTAAGCCACTGCCCCAACTATCACACGCTTTTGAGAAGCATGTGAAAGGGAGAGGACTTTGGCCCGCTTTGAAAACGCGATCTTCTTTTAAGCGTCCGGACTGCCCAAAAGCATTCTAGAATGCCCAAAAGCATTCTGAGTAATTTTAAGAAGTGCAAGAACATCATATCAACATTCATCACAACACCGGAAGTTGATCGAGCGCACTTCTACGTAATCTGTGGTGCACGCATTGATGGCAGCTCACCCGTTCTATAGAAAAGTGTCTCGTTCCAGTCGGTGCACTGCGCAAAGTTCCAAGGGTTCCACCTGTAAACAGTAGCAGAGGGATTGACGAGCTGTCGCTGAGAGATGATTGTATGAACGGGAGAGCCCTGATGTTCAGCCCGTCCGCCCATGAGCCTCAGCGTTCAGTCCTCCTGTTGGTCAGTTTCTTCCCGTTATCTTCCAAAGACTTTACAAGAGATTCTGCGAGCCTGGACAAAAAAGCAGAAAGAGGATAGAGGAGAAAGAGGAAAAGAGCAAAGAAGGAAAAAATCAGGAGGAAGGGCACAAACCGATATAGCAAATTGAAACGAGAGAGAACACCTGGGATTGTGTTGAGCATTGTGTCGGAAGTGGTCAAGGTATATGTTGAGCTCAAAAGTCTCTGCCTCAAAAGCTTTCCAGCATGGACCTGGTGCAGGTCAGGAACCATTCAATGAACAGGTTTGAGACGCCGGTAGGAATTGCTGGTTGTATCAGCAGATAGTGATCCGAAGATTGCGACCAATCAGTGTCACTACAATCAGTGTTCTTCTGAATTCTTCAGGTAGCATTGCGGCAACACCACCAGATTGATGCAGCGGGCTCTATCAAATGAATCCAAAACATCACAGAAAAAGTAGCGCTTCAAGCAACCACCACAACCGCGGCATTACATGGTGGACAAGATCAAGTGAACCTTACTTAAAGTGCACTCAAACAGGTTCATCAGGTCATCTTTTAACAGCGCTTTTTTGATGAGAAATTGCCCCATAACGCCATGCTGACATCATTGTACTCGCCAAGGGACACCTGAACTCAGATTACCTGCCGGTCTTATTGCTGATCGAAAAGTGCCCCATGACGCCATGCTGACTTCGTTGTACTTGGCACGAGACACCCCATATTCGAAGATCTTATTGCTGATGGGGAAGTGCCCCATGACGCCATGCTGACTTCGGCATGGGACACCCAAATTCAGATTACCTGCCTTGTACTCCCTGAACAATAGAACTTTCCAACAGAACCATAATCTAGTCGCATGCAATGGACAAACAAAGGGCTGATCAACTTACCCCATAGGAGGGGTTGGCGACAGTGCGGTGTGGTTAGCAGCCGTAAGGAGAAGCTCTCTCCGACGGCTCAAACCAAAAGCTTCTGATTTACTACCACCAATGCTGCCGCCTCTAGTCCTCTTGTCCCACTCCCAGCCCTTCCCTGCGGCATTGTTTTGCAGCAATGTGCGCTCCCCTCGTTGGTAAACTATTGGCCCATTGTCCCCTTCTATATTTGCTCTATCTGGTGCATGACCTGATTCGCCTCCAGGATCGAGCAGATCCTTATCAGATGCAACGGTCCTAGCTACCAAACATGCGAAGGCAAGTAGTAAAGTAAGTATTCGACAAGGTCTTGCCACCGTCCCCAGGTCACGAGATCTGACCTTACTTGTTTCCATGGCCTGCTCCGCCTGCATTTGGGAAGCCATAATCGATCTGTAGTGCTGTAGATCAACAAGTAACGCTTAACTTCCTCAACGCACTCCCTCCTTTCCCTTTTCAGCCCGCTTTCAATGCCATCACAGCATGCTGGAATCTGCAGAAGGAAGGAACCGCAGCTGAGAAGAAAGCGGGGAAGGAAATTTTCACTCACAAGGTTGAGCAATCTGCCAATCTCGCCGTTCTCGGTCGCATTGCTGGCGTACTTGTTTGCTGAACTGCCTCACGGCGTTCCACGTGGTAGAAGTGACGCACCCTTTGTCCTTGACCCCTGCAGAGATCTGTCAGCTGTCTCGGCCGTGCGATCATCACTCTGGTGAGCTCATGCGGGCTTCTGAGCCGTACGATTGCTGGATGCACGCTCTTTTGTCACATGGCCCGCAGAATGCGGGATCCCAGGACATGCTGCAAGACTCGGAGTCGGACTCGGAGAGCAAGGCAAGACTCGGACTAGGAGAGCATGTGCTCAGTGCGTTTGACAATGAACGATGCTCATTGCTCAGAGTCGAATCATTGTGCATTTGTTCAAGAGTTCCCCCTTCCTTCGTGGTCAGATCTCCGATCGTTTCTAGGTGCAGGTGCAGACGCGAAGCAGCTCAATCGTGCATTGCTCAGAAACAAAGAAAGCCTCGCTTGCCAGAATCTGGCTGGTTCAGGCTGCAGCAAAGTTTTGGCAGAGGAGGTTGCAACAAGGGGTATGTTGCTGCAGTGTCAGCAGAAAGCAAGTATCACATTGCCGGTTGGAGCACTCGGAGCTGAATAATCCTGGACATTCTCATTGGAGAGTTTTTTGCGCTTCAGCTGAACAAAGCTTTGCGCATTCTCATGGTCCAGATCTCAGGTCTTGTGTTTGAATTGGTCAGCACCATATCCTAGCAGGCAGGGGGGAAAGTGCGCTGTGTGGTGGAGAGGCAGATACCTACGCTCAGCAGCTGGAGTGGGGATTCAAGTGCCAAGAATGAGACAACCAGGACTACTGGTGTTGAGTCTCGTGGTGAGCTGCATTGTGCTCACTGACGGCCAGGCACCGCCTCTACCATTCACCCTTCCGCCGGGTGTTGCCGCTCCCCCTGGCTTCTCATTAGGATTTGGCGCGCCAGTGCCTGGCGCCCCTCCCCCTTCGCCGCTTGGGAGCAATGGCCCCTCTTTCTCCTCCCCTGTAACACCACCTCTATCTTCCACCACCACCCAGACCCCTGCC